AGCAGAGCACGGGCCAGATGCAGTGCAAGGTCTACGACTCCATGCTGGCTCTGCCCCTCGACCTTCAAGCTGCCCGCGCCCTGGTTGTGATCTCCATCTTGGTGGCCTTAATGGGAATCATGCTAGCTGTTGCAGGGGGAAAATGCACCAACTGCATTGACGATGAGGAGGCCAAGAGTAAAGTAGCCATTGCTGCAGGTGTGTTCTTCATCGTGAGCAGTATCCTGTGCATCATCCCTGTTTCCTGGTCTGCCAACACTGTCCTCAGAAACTTCTACAACCCCATTATGAACGACGCTCAGAAGAGGGAGCTGGGAGCCGCGCTGTTCATCGGCTGGGGAGCATCAGGACTTATGCTGCTTGGAGGTGCACTTCTTTGCTGCCAGTGCCCGAAGAGTAAGGACAGCGGATACTCAGCCAAATACTCAGCCCCAAGCTCTGCAGCTAGTGGAGGAGCCTACGTTTGAGTATACTTTCTCTAGGAAACTGGACTGACCTGTAATGTTTATGCTGTTAACTTCATGATTTTTAAAGTGTTTCTACTGTTATTTTAATACTTTTTACTTTTTTATGAACCTATAACCTTGCTTGTTTTGTGGAGGTGGATCATCATGTTTAAGTGAATAGAGGTTTTAAAATAGTAGTTTGGTTATGATAGCTCCTCAGTTAGTTGTTCAAAAATCTAGCCAAGCGCTCTCCAAAGTTAACAACCTGCCTTCCATCACCTCAAGTCAATTGGCAAGCTATATTTTTAAATCTACATTTAGTCTAGACAAAAATAAATCTGCTACATACTCTAAAACTACGTTGGTGAATGTAAGGCCTATTGCTGAAAGGGCCGGGCTAGCTGTGTTGCTTAGCTTAGCTTAGCTTAGCAAAGAGCCTAGCTGTGCTAAACTAACCACCTGCTGGCTGTGGCCTCATTTTTCAAGCAAAGACATGATTTTGATCTTGGGGAAATAGTGTATTTCCCAGACTTTATAACTAAGTGTTTAAGATATAAAACGGCTGCCTCCAGTATTGATAAGGAAGATTCTCTCTGCAGTAAATTAAACCAGCATTACGCTGTTGAAAAACATTAAGAGAAAAAATAATAGATAATATTGTAGATTAATATATAAATCATTGTTGGGAATTGGTTGAGGTATTTCAGAATGTATTGATTGAGTTTATATTTGTATTAAACGCTAAACATTTAAAAAAAAATTGTAACCACATAATCATTAATTTCTACTTCCTCCAATCGGTGCCTGACACTCTCTTAATGAGCACAGGTGTTTTCAATTTGAACAATTTTGAACAACCAATCAGGAGAGACCACAGCCTACCATGTGGGTATAAAAGCTGCAGGTGAGATCTCTAACAGCTACATTTCCTTCTAGCTTCCGCTTGAGAGTGAAAACATGGTATCTGCAGGTCTCCAGATTTTGGCCATCTTCCTGGCAATCATCGGCTTTCTGTGGGACATCGTCATCTGTGCCCTGCCCATGTGGAAGGTGAGTCATTTAATTGGAAACAACCTTGTGACGGCGCAGACCTATTGGGAGGGCCTGTGGATGAACTGCGTGATGCAGAGGAACACTGGCCAGATGCAGTGCAAGGTCTACGACTCCGTGCTGGCTCTGTCCCTCGACCTTCAAGCTGCCCGCGCGCTTGTTGTGATCTCCATCTTGGTGGCCTTAATGGGAATCATGCTAGCCGTTGCAGGGGGACAATGCACCAACTGCATTGAAGATGAGGAGGCCAAGAGTAAAGTAGCCATTGCTGCAGGTGTGTTTTTCATCGTTGGTAGTATCCTGTGCATCATCCCTGTTTCCTGGTCTGCCAACACTGTCATCAGAAACTTCTACAACCCTATTATGAACGATGCTGAGAGGAGGGAGCTGGGAGTTGCGCTGTTCATCGGCTGGGGAGCATCAGGATTTATGCTGATTGGAGGTGCCCTTCTTTGCTGCCAGTGCCCGAAGAGTAAGGACAGCGGATACTCAGCCAAATACTCTGCCCCACGCTCCGCAGCCAGTGGCGGAGTCTATACTCTCTCTAGGAAACTGGACTGACCTATAATGTTTATGCTGTTAACTTCATGATTTTTAAAGTGTTTCTACTGTTTAAATCAAATACATTTTACTTTTGTAAGAACCCATAACCTTGCTTGTTTTGTGGAGGTGGATCATCATGTGAATAGATGTTTTGAAATGGTGGTTTGGTTATGACAGCTCCTCAGCTATTTGCTCAAAATCTAGCTAAACGCTCTCCAAAGTTAACAACCTGCCTTCCATCACCTGAAGTCAATTGGCAAGCTATATTTTTAAATCTACATTTAGTCTAGACAAAAATAAGTCACTACTCTAAAACTATGTTGGTGAATGTAAGGCCTACTGCTGAAAGGGCCGGGCTAACTGTGTTGCTGTTCAGCTTAGCAAAGAGCCTAGCTGTGCTAAGCTAACCACCTTCTGGCTATGGCCTCATATTTCCAGCAAAGACATGATTTGATCTTTGGAAAGAGTTTTTCCTACACTTTACAAGTGTTTTAGAGATGAAACAACTGCCTCCAGTATTGATAAGGAAGATTGTTTCTGCAGTAAATTAAACCAGCTTTATGCTCATGAAAATATCTTTGTCTAGCTTGTCACAATGAACATTACTTAACGGGTAATTTGATACTCTTCTGTTCTCCTAAGGCTTAAGCTATGTGGTCATTCAGGTAGGATGCTTCTCTCCGAAACTGAAGCATTTATTTAGTATCTCAGGATTTAAAGTGATTGCTAAAGTTTGACCTGCAGATATAAGTTTTGATTTACTCAAAATTGTTACATTTGTTACTTCAATCCGTAAAACTTTAAAGCCTTTTGTTTGGATCACAAAGCAGTCTTTCATACATGAGCGCTGTTGTTAACAGCTTCCTCCTCCTACTTATTCACAGTGAGCCGGAATCAGGACAAGCAGGAAACCTGATCCACAAACTTGCAAGTCCCCTCCCTTTTGCTCTTACACCTGCAGTGCAAAACCAGAAAGCAAAACACAGCCACTGCTGCGTTTACAGCCGGGTGAAAGCTTGTGATTAAAAATGATCTTCAGCTTAACTCGAGGACTTTGTTGCTCTCTTTGACTTTGTGGCAAACTTAAATACGTGCCTTGGATTTGTTTTTTGGCAGAATGCAGACACAAATTGTGGGTGTGTGTTTGGGAATCATCGGCTTTTTTGGCACCATCCTTATCTGCGGATTGCCCATGTGGAAGGTGACGGCCTTCGTTGGGGCAAACATCATCACCTCTCAGGTCTTCTGGGAAGGTTTATGGATGAATTGTGTCATCCAGAGCACGGGTCAATCTCAGTGTAAGGCCTACGACTCCGTTCTGGCTTTACCACAAGACCTGCAGGCTTCCAGGGCTCTGATCTGCGTCTCCATCGCTGTCTGCGTGGTGGCGATCGGGCTCACTGTGGTTGGGGCCCGCTGCACCAACTTCTATGATGATGACAGGCGGAACAAAGCTAATATCGGCGTGGCTGGAGGTGTGGTGTTTATTATAGCAGGCCTCCTGTGTGTTATTCCTGTCAGCTTGTCGGCGCACAGCATCATCACAGGTTTCTACAATCCTCTGCCCACCTCGGGGAGGAGGGGGGAGCTCGGGGCCTCCATATATGTGGGCTGGGCGTCTGGAGCTCTGCTCATCATTGGAGGAGGGGTGCTGTGTAGCACTGACAGATGCTGAGGACCAGGAGAAGAGAGAAACGGAGAGTACGGGGCGCCTTTCGTCAAATACTGTAGTTGAATATGTGCAGTAATCTGTTTACTGTAATGGACTTTAGAGTTATTCAACCTTAGTCAAATGCAATAATGACAGTTTATCTCTAATCTGTGTAAATTATTAAAGTGTGTAGCAAATGTGGAGTGAAAAGTGAATGGCATGACCAGGGAATGCAACTTTTATGGTTGTTTTTAAAGTAAAGGATGAACAAATTAAGTTAAGTTGAGCCAATAATTGTATAATGTGATATTATAGGATGTTAACTGTAAAAATATGTTTGATACAGAGATCTGAGTTAATGTAATCATTTTTTATTTGTGAAGAACACTATAGACGATGCAAGAGTCATCCGTTAGAAATATGATTGGTTTTATCATAATTTTAAACATTATTTCTAAACGGTCTGTTTCTAGAAATGTGGAGGTATAACTTTAAGAATCTTAAAACAGAAACATCTTGATAAAAGTTATTTTTTACTCTTTGTTGTTGTTGTGAAATTAGTTGAATTGTACATGGAAAAAACTAAACAATTCTCTGGTAGACTTTTTCTAATCTTGTCCCCTAGTATTGAGTAATTGAACAATGTGTTTGGCATGCTTTGCCAACATGCTTTGTATGTTTTTATGTTAACAAACCATTAAATTCACTTTGTATATTTAAAAACTTCTGCATTATTGTCTCTAACATTATTAAAACAACTGAAAAATGTTTTCAAGCTCAAAAAAGTTTAGATACACATGATGCAAGAAAAGAGAAGTAATTGTAACCTCGAGGATATCCTGTTCTCTTTATCAGCCATTTCAGTTTGAAAGCCTGAAGAACTTGCTATGTTTGTAGTGTTTGACATATGGACTGCCGATGTGGCGTCGGACATCTTTTGTGGGAGCAAAGGCACAATTGGTGAGTTGATTTTGTGCATCTCAGATAAGTTTTATGTCACCCCCCCAAAAAACTTTCCTTAGTTAAATTTGATCATCAACCATGTTTTTTTTCACTAAAACAAATACACTTTGTACACTTGAAATAATACATTCTGAATCAGCTAAACAAAAAAGTTTGAAGACGTCAAAGTCGTGCAAACTTTGACATGAAAATGCTGCGTTGCATTGAAAAAGCTCAGTTTCCTCTATATAACTTAAACATCATGACTAAAAATAAAATACCAAAAGACTCTAATAGGATTTTTGAAGTATGCACCAATACATGACTTTAACATCTTTCAAACTTAAATTGGACCTATCATGCAAAATGCACTTTTGTACGTCTTTTATACATGAATACGTGTCCCCGGTGTGTCAGGGAACTCACCAAGTGTCAGAAACACAGGACCCTCTCTCTTTTTCTCATACCAAATCTCTAAAAAACTGGGGCTGCACGGAGCTGATTATTATTGAATTTTTTCTGACCCCGTCCAGAAAGGGTCGCTCCGCCTATATGGGCCAAATCATCCACATATCAGGA